GGTAACACAAGTTGTTTTATTCTACTTTACTTGTCTGCCATAGTCATGTTTTTATTCAGAGACACAAATTATTAACACAGCTTAATAGAAAATTTGCTCAGATATAAGTATTTTATCTAATTTAAATAACGTGGACTAAGGCACATGTTGCATTGCATCTGTCAAAATGGTGACTTAGGCACTTCTTGCATTTAAAACCAGGTAAACTTCCATTGAAGTAAATGCAAACTAAGGCACTTCCTGCCACTTTGCAATACCACCTGACACTGCATTGACACCTTTAATTTAAAAATGTAAAAATATATGGGGTGTTCTATTTGAAATAACAAAGCTGATCTCCAGAAACTTTTAAACATTTTTTAAATGAATGTCTTAACTTAAGTAGTATAAATGCTTTCTATTTCCCATTAATAGAGTTAATAGTTTCATTTTTAATTTAACTTGGAAACGTTGCCAGTGCTATCTGATCCGTAGCGAGGCCCACATTCAGAGGCAGTTATAAAAATGGAAAAATTATATTAAAAATTTAAATTATCGCTTTCAGTGTATCTCTAGTTTGCTCAGCACTTTTCCAGGATTAAAACGCTTTATTAACATCGAACTTTTCAGGTCAGATCCTCAATAATTTCGCAATAGCGAAAATCTTGACAAGTGTGGGAAATCGCATATTGACCTACTTCAAATGTTTGCAGATAAGCTATGTGGTGCAATAGTACGCAAGTGATACATCTGAAAGATTCTTTATTTTTTAGGTTTAGATGGCATAAGGATTTTTGCTAAAATGCGATGAACTCGCGCCACAGGAAAAAGACAACAATGTTTTATCATATCCTATCAATGTTTAAAGCTTCTACTTTTAACCTAGAAATTTTTTTTCATAAAAACACTTTTAGACCGCTCTACCTTACGTTAAGAGTCTCTCTTATTTATTCGAAAACAGAACAAATATAATCCGATATAATCTAATAAAAGGAAGGAGGGAATTTTCCTCGACCTTTGCGGATAAAAAGGAATAAAAGCAGAAAAGCGCGATAAACAGCAAAACTGTTTTCCCCTCACCTTGTTTACATATGCACACGAAGGCAAAAAGTTAAGTGCTTTCGAACAAAATTTCCTCTTCTTCGCGAATATCTAATATTCTGATTGTTTATTGGCGCAGTCGAGCTCAGAAATATCCCAAAGCAAACTTGTACACAAATAAAACAAAAAAAATTTTTATTGACGCTTTCGATCTAAATTTAGATAAGATTTTTGATTTGCAGATACATGGTGTAATTGTAACTTAATTAAATAGAATTAGGGACTCAGTTCGTCCACAGTTATTGGATAACGAAGTCCCGAAAGTTGAAAATTAGTTGTTTTCGTTGGGTTTTTCGTCGTGCGGTAACCGGCAAAGACGGTTAATTTGCGGAATGTTTCCTATGCCGGGGACAATCACCAGGAGCAGCAGCAGGCCCAAACAGCACCGGTTGCCACGCTAATTTGCTTTTTGCGGCTCGAGGCCACAATGCCACGCCACATAGCCTACGCGTTTTCCTGTGTTGTCTGTCGGGGTGGTTTGACTTTGTTCGGCTAGGTCGCAACGCCGCAAGTGCTTGCCTTTGACGGATGTGCAACGGCCGCTAAATTAGATGATCAACATGACTCATTATCATTTAACCCGACTCCAAAGCAGAGTTTGCAGTAGGATTCGTATATTTTGGCTCCTACTAGATATTTTTAATAAACAAATCAATTTTTATACAATGTCAGTACGACATTATCACTTGTACCCGTCAGACGTATATCTCTATCGCTCCACAAACGAGACAGAGTAAACAGTGCATTTTAAATCCAGAATACCCAAAAGGTAATTATTCTGTGCATAAAGACCTCACTGACCAGGACTAAAGTGCAAAGTGTCACCCCTGCCATCCACCTGCCATTGTGGCGGGAAACTGAAAGAGGTCAATCACGAGGATACAAGGGTTATCTGCGAAATTCGGATAAGTATTTATAGCTATAACGTAGAAAAATCCGTAGAAACAACAAAAACACATACAAAACATTAAAGTAGATGAACATGGAATAAACCAGCATCTCAATGGACCAAAGAATACCTAATGCCTATTCAGCAAAGCAACTGACGTGACTTTAAATGTACTAATACACAGAGAAAAAGCTTTCATATTGTGAATGGGTTAAACATTGAGCCAATGGGGTACTGTATTTGCAATTACAGCTATGGTCAAATAAATGATTGTCTTAAATTTATTTATGCAAACATGCTTAAAATTAATTAAAACATAAGAAGTCATTAAATCTGTATTAAAACTTAGTTAGTTAAAGCATAATAAATTATTGAATTAAATTGTTATTTAATTGAAGCCACAATGAATCTTAATGATAAACTATCATCGGCATAAATAGTTATGGTTTCTAATGAATGGCTACATTAAATGCAATCAAAGCTCTAATTCCTTTAAATATGTATATTCTTGTGCAAATATTAGATTATTACATTTATATGAACTTTAAATAAAATGAATTCTGGAAACTGCTTCTGGTAGTCTTGTGTACACAGGTTTCTATCCATAAAATGAAATTGTTCTCTTTTCTGTAGGAACTATTGGGAACCCAATAGAAGTGGTGATATTGGGCTCTAAGAAAGATGCTGACCCATCACTAGCATCAGTTACTGTACTGGATGTGCAGGATCTGCCTGCCATGGCACATGGTTATTCTAAAACGAAATAGGAATTTTATCTTATGTATTTAAAGGCGAATCCTAAAGATTGCTGAAAGTCCTAAATCATTATATACTTTCAGGACTCCCTGCAAGGATATCATGATGGTACTGAAACACTATAAGAAGTTTTTTTAAAAATAAATAAAAACTTCGTCCATTTAAGCAAAATAGCCATTTTAAGGCATGACACCGAATGTCAAGATAAACTGTGTCCATGGTATATACCTATATGAGTTCACATTTACCTTTTTGTTATCATTTAGATATAATTGAGTAATTAAATTACTGGAATGCATGGCGGACTTACAATTAAAAAACATGTACAACTTACCTAAAAATTCAGGATTAGGGAGTACAACCCCCAAGAAATTAGCAAATATAACAAACAACCAAACACTAGAGATAACCCATACACTAACATCAATCGGCGTAACCAGAAATACCGATTAATCAGTTGATCACATTTATTTAATTTTATTTTATTTTACTTTTATTTTATTTTATTTTATTTATTTTATTTTTTATTTATTTAACATCCAGATACACGTGTACAGAAAATAATTTCTGCCTATTGGAGGTAATAAAATTACCTGTACATAGGTCCGGTACATAACTTAAAAACTAGGATCTTAAAACTAAACTAAAACTAAAATAATATATAATATTTTCATTATCATTGCGAAAACAGTTTATAATTCCAACATTTAATACTATTAAGTTAACAATGAATTATTGGTACAGTTTTTGGTAATCCAGTCTTTTAACATTTGTTTAAACTTAAAAGTAAATTTGTTTTTTGGGATATTTACTACTTTGATGTTATTAGGTAACATGTTGAAGATTTTTATACCATTGTAGAGACTAGTTTTTTTACCAACAGCAAGCTTGACTTTTGGCAGTACAATACTTTTAAACCTAGTTGTTTTATTACTATTTTTGTACATAACGTACAAGTTATTAAAATTGATAAGTATGGTTTTTATTTTATTTTATTTTATTTTATTTTATTTTATTTTATTTTATTTTATTTTATTTTATTTTATTTTATTTTATTTTATTTTATTTTATTTTATTTTATTATTTTTAATGTGCTTTCAACAGGCATCAGGCCCAATTACAGAAATACACAATGACAAACACAAATAAACAACCATACCCCTGGTGGGATACGAACCCACGACCTCTCGGCTTGTAGTCCGCAGTGCTAACTACTACACCACCGATGTGTGGTGTGGCAGAGGATGCCCTGGCGCGTTTTCTGAATTTTAGCAATTGATGCCGCATTAAAAAAATGGAAATGATAATTGGGCAAATAACAAGTATTTTTCAAGACAGTGAAAACATTGGTTTTCACTGTAAGACAGTAAAAACTTACTTTACCTTAGTTTCCATTGGAATAAAAATCAGGAACATTAAAAGAAATAAAGACTATTCTTATTTCATTAGTTTTTAGTTTTTGGTTGAAGCACTATAAATTTTAATATAAATCAATTTTATATTTAATTATATATTGATCATATAAACTTTGTATACAATCATTTCTAAAATTATTACACATTTCCGTTAGGATTAAATATAAAGAGCCATTCACACTATAACAAGTAATTTTAACTAGATAATATTTTGTTATGGGCTGAATATAATATTTGTAATAACATCAATCCCTTACCCTCAATTGCTCCAAACATATTTGGTTGAATAAACTTTAACTTTTATTGGAGAAATCACAAAAAAATCAATTATAGTATTGTTATTGACTATATCAAAGTGTTTTTTCTGTGTACAATTTATTTTGTTATTCTACTTACATTGACTTCATCCTAAGCTCACAACCTTAGCAATCTAAAAATTCAGCAGTTGAAATTTAACAGCGTAACTTATCTTGTAAAGCACGTTCAATCATTGGACATGGAAGTATAATTCAGCAAAATGATGCCATTGATGAAGAGTTTGATCAGTTACAAGACGCCGACGCTGTTTATGATTCTTTAAAAGATTTTATATCAATTCTTTAACATATCTCATCGAATAACTGTATGTTTTTACATAGATATTTAACAATTTTCACTATAAGACCCAGAACAGTCTAATGTAGAAGTAAGAATTAAGAAATGCTTCATCTGTAGGATGTACAGCTTTGTTGTTTTTTTTCTTCAAATTTATCAAATACTTTTTGTATTTGAACCCTATTTGACCCTATACCTACAAGTGTATTTTAATCAAGTGAAACATAAATTAAAGTAAATCTGACAGCTTCCTTATTTTTTTCTAGGTACAACAGGTTGCTGGACAAGAGTGGAGCCAGGTACAGGAAAACTGGAGCCGATGGGAGCGTCCCAGGAACTCCGCTTAGACAACGTCCTTTATCAAGAAGGCGGAGAATACAGGTGCGTGGCACCTACCAGAGATTCCACCAGGAGACTGGACTCCATCAGAAATGCTCTCAGCATGCACGTAGTAGTGACAGGTGAGAAATGCTTCAAATATAAAAAACCTCTTGAATATGTAGGTATACATATGAGGCATGTCAGAGCAAAGTCAACAATCTCCCGTCAGACTAAAACTGAGTAAATTGAGATAATTGATTTTGGTATTTTAAATTCTAGATTTGTAATTTTTTTATATATTATATTGAAATATTGTTGTTGTTGGTCTAGTAGCAAACTACAAGGTCTCCAGGATGCATAGTATAGGTGAAATCTATAATTATAAATTGGAGATTGCTGAGATATGAATTGCTGGAGATTGCTCATTTTGTTGTAAACGTTTAAGGAGATTTAGAAAAATAAACAAAAAAATAATTGTTTTTTTATTCCTTTAATGGGTATAAAATTTAACTATACAATCAATGTGGGAAAATTCTGAACTGGACCACATAAATCTGGAGTTTCTTCTAAATCTAGGACCACGTTGCCTCATGCAAAAAAGTTTATATAGTACAACAACTCATCATCTTCTTCCCACTTTGCCCCGTAATGTTTTACTTGCAATGTTTTGACATTATCAGCCTTTTCTTGCTTTACCTTTACGTCTTATTATTTTATAATAGCACAAAATAAATAAGATAACTTTTTTTATAATTCTTAAAACAATAAAACGTATATATACCTATTTTAAATATATTTTTAAGTGCAATTTACAGCAATAGAACTTAACAGTATGTAGTACATACTATGTACCAGTAAAAATACACAAAATTAAATCTCTAAAATACGTTATAACATCAAACGTTAGGATATCAGATGATACAAATTACTAATTTCTAATGGTTGAATTGAAGATTGTATACTTTGCTGCAAATCTATTAGTGGAGATTGTCGACTTTGCACTAAATGTCATTTTTAAAATAGGATTTTAGGCAGGATTTAGCTTCTTTTGCAGCTTTATGTGCTTTATCATCTTAAAGATAATTAGTTGAAGTACAGTCTCAGCCAAAAATCTAATTTTTGACCAAAAGTGGAGATTGTCGGTTTTGCTATGACAGGCCTCATATGTAAGTATGTAATTTGGTAATTAAAACCATAAAACCAACATTAGTATATGGACTCTCCTTCTAATTAGGTCAGTCGGTAATAATATAGAACTACTTTATTTGGGGTCCAATAAAGGACAAAAAAGTTCGCACGTTACTTTGGTGGTAAGATTTTTGTTTTTTTGTTAAGAGCAGGGCTGTTTTAAATTACAATAAAAAGTATTTCTAAAAAGTGTACAGATCAGTGTGTGTTATAAATGTGTTCCTCATGGTTTAAACATTGTCACTTTAATGCGTTTTAATTTTAATTTTGAAAACAAACAGTAAAATGGGCAGTGTCCCATTACTAATTGGTAAAAAATGTAAATTTTTATTATTGGACATCAAATATGCATATTTCCAATATCATACTCTATTTGTATCCCGGACATTTACCAGCCAATTCTTATGTAAAATTGTCCCCTGAATCCAAAAAGACCCTAAAAACTTTAAAAGTTAAGATATAGTCAATTCCATATTATATGTAAAATTGATAATATTTCAAAATCTTTTGACGACATTTTCGGATTCAGCGAATAATATTTAATAGGAGTTGACTGCCAAATGTCCTGGATACAAATTGCTGTTGACGAGAATTAGTAGTGAATGCTTTTTTGCTATGACATATTTGACTAATTCATTTTTAGAGAGTCAAAGGACGTCTTGCAGAATAACAGTGATTTAAATACAGTGCATGATAGAGAACATAAAAAAGTAATGGCAACAAAATTAATAAATTCGGAAAATACTTTTAACATACTACCCGAAAAAATATTTGATATATATAAATCATCCTGTTCCGGCCTAAACAAACTAGAGATACCACACTTAATGATATTTGCAACAAACTATTTCAGAAGTCAGACCAAGGAATTAGTAGTTACCTTCAGAATCCAGAAAAGGGATGAGGAATCCGAGAAAGAAATATATGATTTATATGATGTTTACAAAAACGAAATAAAAAAATTACCTAAAACAGCAATATTTAACAATTTATGTTATTGATGTTTATATAAAAATTGTATGTCCATTAACTATGGTCCATGTGTCCAATTACTATATAAAACGTCCAATTACTATACTTTTTGCATGTTTTTATAAAACTATTATTAAAAATTCAAATATTCTTATTTTTAAGTAAACGTAAATAAAGTTTAAACAAAGAAACTATCCTTTTTATGTATTCATACGAAAAAAACTAAAATCTTTAAGACAACAAACCCTTAAAAAACGAGTGGCAAAAATACAATAGATTCCCATATTACCACATTGTGCGGATGGATGGTAGAGGCATCCTTGACTCTCTGACCCGGTTGGCGGAAAAAGTCGACTTCGTTTGTAACAGAAGTTACCGCTGTATCGGGTCTGCTAATCTCGTTTACCTTCCGAACAAACTTTTTGATCGCAAAGGTTTTTTATTGCATACCAAAGTTAACCTGTTCTAGTTTATTAAAAATCCCTGTTCGGATACATATACTATAGCTTTTAAATACCTAACTAAAATAATTGTAAAGCTGCTTTCATAAAACAAATCAAAAAAATTAAAACTCATATATGCTTTGTTTTAAAGATTTTAGTTTTTTTCTTATGAATATATAAAAAGGATAGTTTCTTTGTTTAAACTTTATTTACGTTTACTGAAAAATAAGAATATTTGAATTTTTAATAATAGTTTTATAAAAACATGCAAAAAAGTATAGTAATTGGACGTTTTATATGTATAGTAATTGGACACATGGACTATAGTTATTGGACATACAATTTTTATATAAACATAACAACATTACATCAAATAACATAAATTGTTAAATATTTTTTAAAGATAAATTGCCGTTTTAGGTAATTTATTTTATTTCGTTTTTGTAAATATCATATAATTCATATATTTCTTTTTCGGATTCCTCATCCCTTTTCTGGATTCTGAAGGTAACTACCAATTCCTTGGTCTGACTTCTGGAATAGTTTGTTGAAAATATCATTAAGTGTGGTATCTCTAGTTTGTTTAGGCCGGAACAGGATGATTTATATATATCTAATATTTTTTCGGGTAGTATGTTAAAAGTATTTTCCGAATTTATTAATTTTGTTGCCATTACTTTTTTATGTTCTCTATTATGCACATTTTATTTAAATCACTGTTATTCTGAAAGATGTCCTGTGACGAAGAAATCACTATAGTACTTACTCTCTAAAAATGATTAGTCAAAAATGTCATAGCGAAAAAGCAGCCACTAATAATTATAATTCTCGTCAATAGCAATTTGTATCCAGAACATTGCAGTCAATTCCTATGAAATATTATTCGCTGAATCGGAAAATGTCGTCAAAAGTTATAAAAGTATATGGTGTATATATACACCATATATAACTATAGTTTAAGAATCTTAAATTAATTTAAAAAACCAATAAAGACAAATATTCAGTATTTTGCACTTGAAAGGACACTTTTTATTTTTGGTGGAAAACAAGTTTTTTCCGTTACAAACTTTGTATTTTAAAACGTCGCGACGCGTAAATTTATTCATCTCGACTCGACTAATAGGCCATAACAGTTTTTTTACTTCTATCCTTGAAAGATACCATTTTTGTATTTGCTTCTCGACTGAAATTAAATTTTCATACCCAAGACTATAAAAACAGCCTATTTAATTTTGATTGGTTGTCCGGGCAAAATTACAGCAGAAAACATATGGTTTTACAATCAGTGTCAGAAACATAATGTTATCCCTAAGTACCTACATCTTATTGAAGACTCAAAATAGAAGTTAATCCGCTATACGGAATGCGAAAATGGTTACAACTTGACAAGAAAACCCAATATATTATTTTATTACAACTTTTGTTATACTTCAAAAGGTAAAATAATTTTTAATATTTAAAAAAAAACCCATTACCTGCAATAATTGTGTTATATAAGTTCGTTATTAGATAAAGTTTAAAATCATTTCTGAAGAAGCTACAGTGCGAAACAATTGTCAAATAAAATGATGCCATAAGAACCCGTGTATTTTTACTCTACTTTATTTGTAAATTTTTATCAAATTCTGCTCATTCGACACTCACTCTAGGACAACCTTAATTGACTGAGTATTTTAAACATATTGTGATTTATCGTAATTAATTCCGTTTTTAGTCAATTTGGGTGGTGTTAAATAAACAGATTGGGTTCAAGTTAAGTAAGACGTGCATCATTTACAAAAGTAATTGTTAGCATGGTGAATGGGGTTGGGTATCAAACGCAGATCCGGCCAATAATGCGATATGAACATGCGATATCGACTGACAGAATCCGCATTACGGTACGTGACAATACATTTATCAAATTTCAACGTATTCAGATGCCTGCCGCCACCTCTGCCGCCGCCGCTGTTGTGCCGTTGTCACGGGCGGCGAATTCATTAATTAGACGATACGCCATTAAATCAATTTACGCAAATTAAGTGCTTACACAATTAGACAAGTTTCACTCACCCACTCACGTGCATTAAACACGTGAACGGATTTTTGCAAAGAATGTAATTGATTTGGGGTGTTTTGGGTCAAGTGGTGTAAAAGTGCGCGCTTTTGAAAACAAAAAACATATAAAAACCATAAAATTATTTGAAATGATTGTTAAATATTTTATTAGGTGAGTTAATTTATTGAGATGTTAAGTTTATGAATTATTTTTAAAAGTAAATTAACTTAATAATGCGTAATTCGTATTAATAATCCAGAACAAACCTCGACTATCAACCAACGCCGGTGAAGGATCTACTGCTGAATTACGAAAACCGTCTCTCGGGCTGAGTCTCGGCGCCTTCCACTCTTAAAAATTATTCTCCCACTCTTAAAAACCAAATGCAGCTTTCATGTAAAATGAAAGTAAGGTATGTAGCTTTATAGAAATCATTTTTCGATAATAAGTATTTGTCGTAGAAAAAGTATAGTATGCAATTGTAATATTGTATTTTGGTTTTGTTTGCAGTTATTTACCAAACGTCTTAACTAAATTACTCCCTTGCCACTTTAAGATAAGAATTTCTAGTGTTTCCTTTATGTTATTAAAGTCTTAATTTGTATATTAAGTCCCCTTGTCTTGGTATACTTTAAACATTACACTTGTAAATCATCACGCCACTTGTTACGTGGTTGGCATTATCTTTTCGCCGCGACTAAAATCCAAGAAATTGTTTACGATCTCCTGGAAAGGCCTTTTGATATGGAAATCACTGGAGGAAGAATATACGGACAAATTGACTCCCAACCCATTTCCCAGGATATCTCCCTCGCCTTAATTTTGAAGGTGCGCCTTACAAAAGGAAATATTATTAATTAGACAACGGGTCTCAATTAAATTAGCTTACGTTTATCTCGCAACCCGATGGTCCTAACAAATGTTGCCGGGGTGCACATAAATTTTCAAGTAAGACTATTTTATGACCTACATTTCAGATGGAGATATAAGAATATCCAGAGGCTGAAGTTTGGGCGTAATTTATATCCTTTATTTAAATACGCAGGATTGTAACCTGCATAACCTCAAATTACCTGATTCTGCAATTTATGATATTGTTCATCATATGCGAGGTTTTTTACTAAGAAATTTAGAATTCCATGTCTATCAGATACGCGTTTTTGGCACGCAAATTGCTTGCCGATTGTTTATGGACTTTTACACCCCATCCCAATTTTTTGCATTTGGACAACCCTCCTTTTCGGTAAAGTGTAAATTAAATATTTTGGGTGAAACATCCACCGTTTAGTGCCCATAAAACATTATCTTCAATTTCACTGTGAAAAACTGCCTCTAAATCGGATTTAACCGGTGGTTAGTCCATTTTCAAGGAATAAATTTTGATTAACACATAAAAAGGACCTTTATCTATTTTGAGTTCATAATGACTTTATTATAACACCGCTTTCGATGCTGTAATGAGATACTTTATCGCACCCAAAATTTTGATTTTATAGGTTGGCTATACTTTAAACAGGTTATAATATTTTTATGATTTGTCTAGTACTTACGAGACTTTTCTGGCAATAAATTTTGTTTAACACCAAAGAAAATCATTTTTTTCTGCTTTAACACCTTAACAACGCTTTGTAAATAAGTAAAGGACGGCATGGCGAATCGATTTTGACATTAACTGTCAAACCAATGACTGTGATACCAACTATCTAAAGTAAAATTCGACCAAATTAAATTTAAGGTATAAAATTAATTTTCGTATAGAATTTTTGCAAAATAGATGAAATAGCATAAAGAACTCAGTCATAAGACCTTTTGTCCCACTTGTCCATTAAAAAACTCGCTCATTCGTCGCTCGTTTTATAAATTGTCCGCGTGCGACAAAATGACGTCTTATAACATTAGTTCTTTAATATACTATTATTTAATATTTTATAGAAAAATTGTGTAAAAGAGAGTTGACAATTTAAATGTAAGCCCTAATTCGAAATTTATTTTTTCTATTCCCACCTTTAAAACGCCCTTTATCGTACATGTTTCCATGACACTAAGTGACCTTTTAAATACACATTGACAAGTTGTGGCTTTATGGCGCTTTAGTCACGGGCTGAAGTTAGCAACAGGTTTTTAGTCACGGGCTGAAGTTAATTTTAAGTTAGTTGGCAGTTGTCAAATGTCATGCAATCGTTAAAATAAATTGCCTTTCTTGTAAAATAATACTAAATGTGAAAATTATTTTATTATCTCAATACAAAAATACAAAAGTATTAAATAGTTTCTCAACGCCAATATTTGAAAAGTTTATATGAACATTGTAATGACCTTTTAATTTCGCCGGCAGTAAACTATAACTTAAATTCGGGCACGGACTCTACTGTAAAGTCCTCATAAAACATTTCCTTTACTTTCACTGTGAAAAACTGTTAATTTTCAAGAAATACATTTGGATTTATAACATTTATAATTGTGTTTATAAAATGTAAAAATTTGACATTTGACGGAGACACAAATTTTTGATTTAAATCATTTTAAGATAATAATAAGTATTTGTCGTAGAAAAAGTATAGTATGCACCTAGTTTATAAACTTTTCTATACACTCAATAATTTAAGCACTCGCTCGCAAACTCGCTCGTGCCTAAATTAAATTCGTGTTTAAAATCAAACTTGATACATAATATACTTTTAACGTTTAGTTTTATTTATTTATTACTTACATAAGTTTTTATTATGTTAAATTGAAAAAACGAAATTCTAATATAAAATTTGTCTAAAATAATGAGGTATGAAGTATTTTCAGTTTTTGTAAATGTTTTAGCACTCAGTTAGTTTAATTGAATTTTATTGATTTTCTTTACTTTTTTTGAGAAAGTTAACAAATTATCAAATATTAAATTAACAATTAAATTGTTTTAAATACACAAATTTCAAGATGACAGGTTACAATTTTATCTCAATACTTTTTTATAAAGCGCAAAATTTCCTAAAAGAATATTTATTTAGATAGTTTCAAGTCAAGTCGTTTAAAACAAAATAATACAAAATTTTTCGATACATAAAATACTATTAATTGTAAACATTTTTCCTAAAATGTCAGGCAGATAGAATCTTGTAATTATAATTATATACGTGACACACTAAAATAAAATAAATAAACCAGAGATCTCATTATAATCCTGTACCTACAAGAAAATTTTAATTTGTCCTTCTCACTAATATATCTTTGTTTAATTTAAACACGTGTTGCAATTATTCCACCCAAACCGACGCTTAACTATACAAACGCCCTTTAGAGTAAATTAACGGCAAACAAGATACATAATAATTATCTTAACGGCGCCTTTAAGAACGGAGTGGAGGGGAACCCCCGCTCAAAGCCGGGCTCAAAGCCGTGTAAACTAACTTCGGTTATGGCTTACGCACCCGTTTGCCACTAAGTCGCCGACTTATGATTTTATTACGCCAGTGGAAACCGTAATTTCGCGTTTAATCTTATGTGTGACGCGATTGCAAGTTGCCTCGTTTAACTCGGCTTCATTATTTTTGAGATAATTTCGCCTAGTTTCTGAGGATTAACGTGAACATTACGCAATCCCCAAGTTTTTAATACCTTTTAAGTGAGTTCATTTAATGAACATTACTTTCAAAATGGCGAAAGTTAATTATACATTCTAGAATACTAAATCATATGTTACACTGTTCAAAATTTCATGACCATTTTAACACCAAATTAACACCATACATGGTCTATATCGATACAAACCAAAATGGTTTTAAATATGGTTCGTTGGTCCAGTGTAAATTCAAATACTAATATAGTGTAAATTTAACTTTCAGATAATGTTTTTAGTGCGTTTCACCAACTAAAAATACTACATGTATTGACAGCTGTTTCCACCTTTTTAAGGTCTCTTTAGTATCGAACAACTTGTAGTGTCACACCAAAGCAAAGGACTACCTGAGCTTATATACTCTTCATGTAAATCATCAGAGGCGAGATTTAAAACAAACACCGCCTTTGCCGCGATCGGTACATATTATGCAACCAAGAATGAACTAATCTTTGTTTATATTGACCTTCCCACAGTTGATTTAAATAAATACTTATGGGTCAACTAAATTATTATAGTTAAATTAATTTAGTTAATTAACTATTCCTTTTTTCTGTGTGGGTGTGTGTTTGCTGTATATATATAACATTTTCAACCATAATTCATGGTGTTTATATTAACAACACTTGGTGTTGCATTTAGACACCATTTTAAGATTACCCTTTACACCACAGATATTTTAAACAGTGTTATTAAATAACCTAAAATCAAATAATACCACACTTCAGTGGCGGCTGGTGGATTTTGGGTATACCGATATCTCAGTTATTAGATATGAGTCTATAATGACATTAAATAAACAAGTTCTGCGCAATCAGAATTTAAATTGAAGTTTGCGAAAAAAAGATAACCGAACCATCGAACTGACGACACGGTACTGATGAATGGGATACAAATTTGATATTATAATTCGGAATGAAGTATGTTACTGATATTTTTTATTAGTGGATGCTACTTATCAAAAAATCACATATAGCCTTATATAAATTACAATGAAATATATATACGTAAGAAAATAACTACTCCCCACAGTACTGAAATTGTGACTGGAACTATACGTGCATTCATCACAACTTCGCCGCTTGCATTGTTTTCAAGATGACTGTCGTGCAAAGGGCGGGCTCTGTAGGTAATTTTTTACCAACACTTGAGTTAAAACGAGGACTTGACGTTTAAACTTCAATGTTTTGAATATTTTTTATGATTTGTTACAAACGTGCTTTTGAAAAAATACATTAAAATTGGGTAGACAAGTTAAAAAAAACCTGGATCTTTTGTAATATACCAAAATATTTACAGAAAATATTAAAATACCTACTCTATTGACTGATGACATCAAGTTGTCCAACTTTTGTAGAATCACCCATATAATATTTATATTTTTTCAAAATCATTTTTATTCCTTAAATAATTAAATGGTTTAGATTATTGCATTTGCTTAGAAATGTGCGTATACGCATAGAAAGAATGATAAATAACAGGTAGGAGAATTATTCAGTTTAAAGATAAATATGTTAATTTTATTACCAAAACCCGAATGCCTCCTAAAAAATACAATGGAGCATTCAAATGGACATTACTATTTTCCGTGACTGTACACTATATTCGCTGATGCGACTTGACGAGATCAGATTCAATTAATTAGGCATCTTTAGCGAATCGTTATCGCGCTCGTTCGGTTGGTACGACTGCGACGAGGCCGCCTCGCAACAATACCATCACCGCCAACTACAACCGAACACAATGGACGCATCAAACAGACAAATGATGAATTTTCCGCGGCGACAGAGACGCACCGCGCGCGCCCACCGTTTGTCATTTGTTATCTGTTGGAGACATATTAATTTCTATGAAACAATAGAAAGCGACACTCTGTTTCCCGTCAAAAGATCGATCCAATGAACACAGTGTATTTGATCATTGTTTTCTTCAAATGTAACATCGTATTTTTTTGATGATTTTTAGTATTTTTGACGTTCTTTTATAATTTTTATAATAATAATGACCCATTTGTTTCCGACTCACTCCTGTAAATTTTTTATTTAACCGGATTTGTTTTAAAGTGTAGATCTTAATAAACTGTATTTTTGGATCAACAACACCATATTTTTACAAAATACAATTTTTAGAAATTCGAAAAAAATTTTTTTTTTTAAAATATAATAAAAAAAGTAGTTTGTCTTAATATAGTAAAGATCCCTCCCTATTCGTCCAACTTGTTTCGGCAAAAACATCATTTTTATAAAAATTATTTATCTACAAACGCTACGTTCAGTAATACCATTTGCATTAATGATAAAGTAAATGTACGTTATGTTTATAAAAATAACACTCTTTATTATTATACAAAATAAAAAAATACGAACTCAGTTTTTAAACAACAACAATTTTCTTAGTGATCTTTTTCATATTTTTATCATGCTAGATTTTACCACACTTCACTCGCACAAGTGAAATCAATAAAATTATAAAACAGACTGTGAATTATAAAGTTATGTTCACCAAGGAGAGCGTTGGCCCTTTCCCCCTCTATTTAAGGGAAATAATAAAAATTTTCTTACCATTGCAAAAAAAATAGTTAATATTAAAAAAGTCTTTTTATGGCAATAAAACATTTTTGTTATTGTTCTTAACGTAAGCTATTGACAAAGATTTTCGAACTAAAATAAGATTAATTTGAATTACAACGATAGTAATTTAAAAAAGACAAATATGCCATAGTAAAATGAACAAATTGAACTGCGCATTACTTTATGTAAGCGCAATTCACACAAAACTATAAATTTAACAAAAACATTTGAAGTTCGACAAAGATTTAATATAAACATATTTTTTCACGATTATTGATATTTTGTAAAAATTGTATTGTTTTACCGAAGAACACTCGATAAACTTCACGAAAAATATGATATTTCATGTTTTTGAGACAATATTTCGTGATAAGAGTATGAAAAACTATAAAAGTCATCATTTACTATTTGAAGTTGAACCTCAAATAACTTTTAAAAGAGTCGACAATGCAAAAAATCATATCAGATCTTTTTTGTAGTTAAAACGCAATAAAATTCCAAACAAAAAAATGTATTTTTCCCGTGTTATTTAAATGGAAAATAAAAAATCGCGATGAGCTTAATATTTATATTAAGAGCTCAAACTTTATCAGAATTTTTTTTTCGTCGTCTTGGACGATATTTTTCTGGTAGCTAAAGAAAAGAAAATTAAAAGTTTTTTTTGGTCCACCCTAATATATATATATGTATACATATATATTTAAAATCTGTAATGGCAATGATAAAACTAGGTAGCTCATACAATGTTGGACGCTGTGAATTTTAAGCGGCAGCTTTTAAAACATTTCAGGAACGCCTGGAACCTGAAACCCTGAAAGCGGACAAGTAGTTTGCAGTTGCAGCAGCGTAAACTTTAATTATGTAGACGCCATTTTTCATACGTGATTTACAAACTAACCGACTAAAGCGAATTAATTTTTCGGTTTCATAAATTTTAGAAAATTGACAAGCGACTTTTACTTAGTAAGGGTGAGATTATTTAAAAATGTCATTCTGTACAAAAAACATAATGGATTTAATTTATGCCCTATTAAAATTTTATTGACGACAAAATTTAACCTGTTCCTTTTTTTCTTCTAAGTTGTTTTTATTTACAACTAAATTATTTAATTATAGTGAATATTGCACTCATGAATTATTAGGTGAAAACTTACTGTGGAAATACCACCTTGCTATGACAGCAGTTTATATGAATGGAAAACCATTAAAATTAATCGTTTTGGTGATATTCAAGAAGAAGAAGCACGGTAAAAAGTAAAAATACTTATTAATATTGCTATATAATATATTTACATTTTTTTTATATTTTAAAAAGGTAGTAGTATGGTAAACCATATAGTTATTGGACAAATACTGGAAAAATTATTTATTTAAAATTTATATATGCCATTGTTTTAAAGATTTTAGTTTTTTTCTTATAAATATATAAAAAAGGATAGTTTGTTTGTTTAAACTTTATTTACGTTAACTTACTTAAAAATAAGAATATTTGAATTTTTAATATTAGTTTTATAAAAACATGCAAAAAAGGAAAGTAATTGGACACCTGAACCATAGTTATGGGACATAAAATTTTTAAATAAACATAAACTTACATCAAATAACATAAATTATTAAATATTTCTTAAAGATAAATTGCTGTTTTAGGTAATTTTTTGTATTTCGTTTTTGTAAATATCATATAATTCATATATTTCTTTCTCTGATTCCTCATCCCTTTTCTGGATTCTAAAGGTGACTAATTCCTTGGTCTGACTTCTGAAATAGTTTGTTGCAAATATCATTAAGTGTGGTATCTCTAGTTTGTGAAGCATTTCTAATGTTTAGGCCGGAACAGGATGATTTATATAAATCTAATATTTTTTCGGGTGGTATGTTAAAAGTATTTTCCAAATTTATTAATTTTGTTGCCATTAGTTTTTTATGTTCTCTATCATGCACTGTATTTAAATCACTGTTATTTTGCAAGATGTCCTGTGACGAAGAAATCACTATATTACTTACTCTCTAAAAATGAAACAGTCAAAAATGTCATAGCGAAAAAGCAGCCACTAATAATTATCGTCAACAGCAATTTGTATCCAGGACATTTAGCAGTCAATTCCTATGAAATATTATTCGCTGAATCCGAAAATGTCGTCAAAAGTTATAAAAGTAGAACAGTTTTTGAAATATAATCAATTTTACATATAATATGGAATTGACTATATCTCAAAAACTGCTTAAATTGTATGGTTTTTGACGGTCTTTTCGGATTCAGGGGACAATTTTACATAAAAATTGGCTGGTAAATGTCCGGGATACAAATAGAGTATGATATTGGACATATGTCCAATAATAGAAATTTACATTTTTTACCAACCAGTAATTTGACACTGGCCATTTTACTGTTTGTTGTTTGTTTAAACCACGAGGAACACATTTATACCACACACTGTACACTTTTTAGAAATATTTTTTATTGTATTTTAAACAAGAAATATTCTTTCGAAATACAGCTTGTGCTTAAAAATGAACCGGATAAAATTTAAGCAGTCGTGGGATTACCCCCAAAAATAAGTGTTTTTTTTAATGTCAACTCGTAGGTAGGTACTATTTTAATTAATGCAATTTTTTCGAATTTAAATAAAATATCATATATTATATAATTATGCATATATTATTCTATATCAAAAGCTTTACAAATTAAACAAAAACCATACCTATATGAACAATAAGTTTTTTTCTACGGTTCATTGTCTATTTCCACTATTTAAACCTACAGCTTTTGTTCATATAAAATAAGCCGTTTTTCGCTCATTTATTTACATTCGGCATATTTATTTTTTTGCATTTCAATTAAAACAATTGGGCTTTTAAACGTATATACATTTGTATCTTTGTTTCCACGAAACGGAAAGAGGATTTAAAAGTTGCGTGCCATCCGGTGTGGCTGCATTTGTCAGCCAATAGGAATCTTTTTAAGTGATCGTTAGAGAAAATACAGATACATTTTCTTGGAATTTTCTTTATAACATCAGATTTATATGGTTCTTCTACTACAAATTCATGGTAGGTTCAAGTTTATTTTAATGGCGCAGTCAATGCACAACAAATAAAGTAGTTTGTCTTAATAAAGTAAAGATCCCTATTCGTCCAACAATTGCTTTTGTTACGGCAAAAAGAACATTTTTATAAAAATTATATATCTACAAAAACTGCTTTCAGTAACTGCATTTGCATAATTATAAAGTAAATTTACGTTATCTTTATAAAAATAACACTCTTCCAGATGCAGAAACGCATTGATAAATATAGTTTTTATTATTTGTTCAAAAAACAGTTCTATACCGTTTAAAAAAACGTTTTATAATATTAATGAAACCCTAATGGTATTATTCATAGAAATTTTGTAAATTTTACAAATCCCTTTTCGTTTAAAATAAAACTTTTTTATAATATTAATGAATTAATTGTTAATTCGCTATTTTTCATTGTAACAATGGTCACATTTTCAACCTACTGTTGGGTGTTGGGTAGTTTTTTTTTAAATAATTGTTTTAAAACAAATTATTTATTATAACAAAAAAAAATAACTCATATTATATGTTGTACAAAATAAAAAAAATGTGAACTCACTTTTTAAACAACAAGTCTGATTCGTTTATAGAATATACCTTAAATATTTCTTTTAGAAAAAGTAGAAATTGTAATTTTCTTAGTGATCTTTTTGATATTTTTATCATGCTAGATTTTACCACACTCGCACAAGTGAAATCAATAAGATTATAACACAGACTGTGGATTATAAAGTTATGTTCACCAAAGAGAGCGCTGGCCCTTTCCTCCTCTTTTTAAGGAAAATAACAAAAATTTTGTTATCATTGCAAAACAATTATTGCCATGGCAATATGAAAACCATTACTTTGTTGGATGAACATTTTTTTATAAAAGCTCAACATTGCTGCTTCATTATAGTAAATGAATAAATTTTATTAACAGTAAAAAAAGTTTATTCTGTAAATAAAAATAATCTCATTACTTTGACAAATCGTAGGTTTTTGTCCCAATAAGACACAGAAAATTTAATAAAAAGGTACCTTAGGTGGTACATTTTTTTATAGCCATTACAATTTTAAATTTAAGTTAATAATATTATTTTATTAATCGCTTACAAAATCGCTTACAAAATGGTTTAGTAAACCTATTTTCTTAAAACAGCGTAATTTCTTAAACATTACACTTAATTATAAGGGCTAATAATTACATAAAGGCGTTTATCTAAAAAAGCCCTTTTTAGGTAAAATCCTTTTAAAAATTAAGGTTGTAGCTGAAAGAGGAGCATTGGCAAGT